TAATTGAGATAACTGCCATTAAAATATTTTGTCCTATTGATCTCCTAATTAGACTTATTATGCACATTCAACGTGTCACTACCAACATGCATAATTTGCTAATGTGCTACTTAGTGCCAAATGTTTAAAACGATAGCGCAACATAAACAATTTTGTAGCAGTAGGAAGAAAATACTTGATTAAATTGTCAGATTAATCAAGTATCTACTCTCATAAAAAGAAATTAAAATCAACAAGTACTTGATTAAAAGTTAAAAAAATAAAGTAAAACTTGTAGTCTCACATATAATATAAAAGAATAAAAATCCTTGAACCAAATGAAAAAAACTAGCCACTCATGGTGACTAGAAACATCTTAAAATGTTTGAAGAAAATAAAAAAATAAAAAATAAAGTTAAAAAGAAAATGGTGGCCAAAATGGGGAAAGGAAGTAGCAGCTTAATGCTTGCTACCGTGGTAGGGTGTTTGAAGCCTACCACTACTACTCTATTTATAGTGGTGTTTTCCTAACCGAAAAATCCAAAAAAAAAAAAAGGTACAACAACCTATTTCAAATCACTTCCAATATATTCAAATGGATTTAGTTGTTACTGCAAATCTTTTACCAAATCAGGTCGGTCAAACGGGTGGAGAAAATCAAGAAATGAATTTCTTTGACTTTGGTAAAGAAAATCTTCAAGTAAGAGCTTTGATTAATCTTCTTATGGTAAAATCCTTTCATCTTTTAACTCCATAAAGCAGCGAGTAAATCTCAAAACAGTCCATCTTTCATTGTTTCACTACATTGGCACAAAATAATAATAAATTACATTAATAATCTTCAAAATATAACCAAATTAGGCATAAAAGATTATAATAAAATGAATTTTATTATAATTATCATTAAATCAGATCAATTAATCAAAACATTTATGACTAATGAGATGAAGCTGAATGTTTGAGGTCTTTTGTTAAGCTCTTATGGGGATGCTTTGATTAAAGGAGTGTGACAAATAGATTGTCTTAATGGACAGGAGTTGGCTTTGATGGAGAAAGTCATCAGAGAAAATGGGGACATAGATGTCTCTATGTCAATTTCATCCTAGTCTAAAAGATACTCTGTCAGGTTAATGCAACAAGACCTTCTCTTTATCATATTCCCCTAATGTGTTGTTTCGTTAAGAAGTTTCATCTATGTGGATTTAACAATTTAAATTTGATGGAGAGGCATGATTTACATTGGTAGTTTTGGGGAATTATGATCATTGTTAATTTCTGTAAACAAGTTTGGTAATGTATGTTTAGATAAATTGTATCTTAGGCTTAAATGAATGTCCAGTTTCATCTTGTAAGATAGGGAGAAAAAACGTTAAGATGTTAGGTTTCAGTTATTCATTTGTTCACCTCCATCTTTGGGGTTGTAATTTTTTTTTTATTATTTTTTTTTGTGGCTTTTTGTTTCTGGTTTTGAATTGTGAATGAGATACTAAAGTTTTAGGGGAAAATTGATTGTATGCTAGATTCTTGAACTTGCTTTTAACTGGGAATTTCATGTTAAGGTTTGAGGATTGTTTCCTGACCGTAGATTAATTTTTTAACAAATTTATTTCTAGGAATTTTATGCTAAGTGTCTGATTTCTTATATAGAGACCAAACATAGTATTTTGATTAACAGTAAGTGCTCTTTGTCACTTGTTTTGTCTCTAAATAGTTTACTTATACTGATGTTAAAACCAAATCAATTTATCGAAACCACCTTGCCTAGCACATGAACGTGAATAGAGTACATTAACAGAGTTCTTGCATGCTTTAAGGAGATAAAGTAAAGATATCTGATTCCAGACCCGTGTCTGATTATTTTCATTATCAATTATCAGATTGGTTCACAACAAACTGGAATAATCATTGAGGAATTTTGTCTTCTGATATACTTCGGTTTTAAAAATTGAATTAATCTATCTATTAAAGACGGTCAACTAGAGTTCTGCTGAATGTTTCGATAGTAGCCGTAGTTTTTACTTTGTATATACCTCTCTATTATTGGACAATAAAGGTACGTGTATGCTTCCAGAGTTCTAAGAGGCAAAACCACAAAATCATTGATAATCCACTTCAAAGATGGATATATTTTTTTTAATCAGTTAGCCGAAGAAGCTGACAGAGCCTTAAGGACACCATTGAAATTCAACAGTGAAGAAAATCCACGGTGGCTGATGCTCAAATTTTGTACTATTTAGGATTTAAGTCGGTAAAGGAGCAATTTTATCGTGTTGAATTTTCCTTGAGAATTTAATTCGTGAATCCAGACACTTCGAGAGTTGTCTAAATGGGTTCCTCGCAGTCAAAGGTTGCCAAAAAGACCATTCAACAAGGTACTCCTCAGAACCTACAGGCATATGTCAATCGGAATGATGATTTTTGTTGAGCTGGAAAGGGTAGGAGTTAATGAAGCTGAATGTGAAATCAATTTAAGCTCAAAGTGGGCCTTGCATCCAGGTTATTATTTGAGTCTTTTGTTATTGGTCCTATTGGAGTGGTTGCTTGTTTAGTTACTGGAACACTAGAATATGATTGGAATGATATTCTGAAAAGATATCATTCGTTTGGATTTTTTTGGAATCAATGATGCTATGAAATTCCTTGACAAGCTGGGGAATCTTTTGGCTACCTGTTTTTCAGTTGCAATGAAATATGAGCTTTTGGAAGCCAAATTAACTGAAAATTGTTTGTGCAACATAGATGATAAACAATACTACATTAGCTAAAGAGACTGTCCCTTTAGAGCTGTATGAAGTTATTTGTGCCTAAAATTGATGTTAAATATGTTGGTGTAGTTAAGGATAAGAGTGGTGCTGTTAAGTCTATTGGTAAATATAATTACACAAAAAGCTGGCATATATCATGGTCTGAAATTGTCTCTACTTTCAAGGGAGGTACCAGTATTAGCATCCAGGGTGGGATGAACGAGTTTGATCAAATTGTTGATGTAGAAATGGGATTGATGGATTCAAACTCACAGCATAACAGGTTGAGCTCTATGAAAATTTTCCTTTCGACGATGATTTGTTCTGTTAGAGAAGTTTATAGCATGGGTGTATTCAATCCAGCTAAGCAATCAATCTGGTGGGGGCAATATAATGTGGATGATTTGACTTGCAAAACTTGTGCTTTTGAATTGTTTCCATCTGCAATGAACAATACACTTTTTGGCCTCAGAACTCAGCATATGGTCAATTAATTCTTCTTCCATTGGCAGTTTGGCACCCTTAATTCCTAGTATTATTTGGCTGAATTTGGTTTTCAGAGCTGATTATCATCATGAGTGGGAGCTGATGTTGGACAACTGTCATTTTAAAAGCATAATAGCTCGGAAATCTTGGCCTGAGTTGATTACAACTTTCAAAGGTGTTACTGTCTCCAAAATGCTGGATTTTGTGACCCATCTTGGATTGCTGCATTTTTGGAATTTAGTTTATTGACGGAGTTTGCTTCTGACATGAGTTTCCATACTATAGTAATTGGAATAAGTTTGCTGTTTTTTGTTGACATGAGACTAATAGAGACGGGAATTCATTGCGAAAAGGAACTAGCAACTGATCCAACTCCCGCTTGGCAGTGGAACTCATTTTATTGGGTGGTAACAGAAAGTTGTTCACGCGTCTTAGAATTGTGAATTTGTCAGGAACCAAGTTTTAAAGCTACAAAAATTTTGGAATTTAATGAAGTTTCAGGGAAAGGATGTTAACATGCCAAGTTTGGCTATTAGCTTGTTGCAAGTTTCATTTTTCCTAGGTTTGAGACTGCTGGTACTCGAGCTTCTCTATCTCTACAGCGCCATGCTGTTTAGTTCATGTAGATATCAAGGTGGAAGAGCATTCGAGGTTCAACGAAACTGGAATTTGCACCAAGGAGAATCTTGTATTATTCAGGTGGGTTAAGTATCACTCCCAAAAGATTTCCAGCAATTTTGAAGACGATCACTATGTCCCAAAAAACATGAAAAGAAAGGATCTCGGGAGTAAAAAGGGCTACAAACGTTTCAGGCTTGGGTGGAATTCTGGGAAAAGAGAACTAAGCTCTCCATCTTGTATAATTACTTGCTGAAAACATCAATTGGAGAACTATTGTTACAGTTCAAAACTACCAGTTGCTACTGGTTCAAAATTCATTGGTGAGGAATACATCTGCAGCAACCTTTACTCCACCAAGATTAATTGATTGGGAGGGGAAATCAGCAAGGTTTCCATTGGCAGCAACGAATGCAAGTAATTTTGAGCTTAATAGCCTACTCATTGAACACCAAATGGTTTTACTGGTCACATCTCTTTCTGTTGTCCAGATGTGGCTGAGCTGCATCAACAAACTTGCAAGTCTTGGGGAGAACTAGTGTCAACATTCAAAAGGGATTTGTCAAAATAATACTACACAATTTTATTTGATTACATGATACATATTTTGAGGCGGGAAAAAATCTGCAAGGAATTGTCAGGTTTGAGGACTGAAATTCCTGATTCTATTATACATCATCCGACCTCTTGGTTTTCTAGCTGAAATTGTCTCATCAATGGTGAATCTGGTACATCAAATGTTGACGTGCATTCCCACGAAGACAACTCAAAAAGCACGGGACAAAATCATGACGATCTTCAGGGGAAGCACACTCATCTTGCATGAATTTTGACTGCAAATCAACATATGTTTTTATTGACTTTTTCTGCTTTGGATCGTTTTGTTTTATTTATTGACAAGTCTTGGAACAAGACTTATTTAACGGGAGGGATTGTCATATTTTAGGATCGTTTACATTTAATTTAAAACTTTAAGGGTCAAGTTGTAAATTTTTATTAATAGTTGTTAGAGTTGAATATCAGAACAGCGCCTGTAATATCATCGATGAAGAACTATTTTTGCTGAAATCTACCGCCTTTCCCAGTTTTCTCTTTCTCCCAATCCCACTTTCTCAGCCCTAAGATGAGTTTGCTCCAATTCTACCCTTCTTCGTGTCTGACTTGGAATCTGATCTCGGCTGGTGACAGCTGATGGGCTTGATAATGGATAATATTTATGATGATAGGCTAATAGCCTTTACTTTGATAATAGGATAATAGCCCATATACGTTTACTAAAGCCCATACACGTTTGTTAAAGTTAGACCGCTAACATTTCCGAATGATCAATATTTATACCACTCGGCTTTATTGGTATTTGCCCGGAAGTATTAGAGAAAAATTAAAAAGATCTCAGTGCCACTGTAAACGAGGAAATAGAGGGAAAAGTGGTAACTTCAGCCCAGGCTATGGCGTCGTCATGTTCGACGGTTCGTCGATTGGCTAGTTTTCTTTCAGCCAGGATCCGAGAAAACCTCTTGAGACGGCTAAGCTCTACAGCCTCATCCTCTGCGTCTCTTGTCCAACGGCAAATTCCCGAAGCGCTATCTTCGTTTCCCTCCCAATCTGAACCTATCGTCGCCGTTCACATGACCGATAATTGCGTTCGGGTAACTCTCCTCGTCCTTGAACATGTGTCTTATGTGCGGGTTTTCCAAAATATATCAAATATATTTTCCTCAATTTAATGCGATCACTGTTTAATTTTTCCTCTTTTGAGTAAGTTTGAGATTTTGCTCCTCATTGATGTGATTACTTCGTTGTGATGAATGTTAAGGGAAAAGCACGAAATCAAATGTCCGGAGAAAAGATAAGTTTACCTTATGGATTGGAGAAATAAACATAAACAATTATTAGAATTAGGGTTTGTAAGATTATCCGGTCCCTCATCATCAATGTGGATCATGCTTTTCCTTAATAAGCTTGCTTCAGAGTTTAATAACTCAGATTAGCCGGCTTTGTTCTTCTTTGCAAATAATCTGGGGCTCTATTTGGTTGTTTAGAATTGGAGCCTCTAATTCCATTTCCTGTATTTGGCCGCTAATAATTGTAATTCCAATATTTTTTTTGTTCGAAAATAATTTCCATTAGAAGGCTAGCTGAAAAGACATACAAGCATCTACATGGTCCTGCTCAAAAAGCAAGGAGATACATGTTGGGGCAACATCAAAAGAATATAAGTCCCCATTTTTTGCCAATGCCTCCTTTGCTAAGGCATCGGCACATAGATTATTAACTTTAGAGGTTTGCGAAAAACGGACATCCCAGTTGTCTTGCAAAAGGTCCTGAATGCATCTCAATTCAGGATCCAATGTTGTGACTCCTCTTAGGCTTTTGCATAACTTCACAGTCAATTCGGAGTCAGATTCAACCACGACTTTTGGTATTTAAAGTTGTTTAGCAGCTTTCAGTCTTAAACAGATAGCTGTCAATTCCGATGTCTCCACTGACGACCTCCCATTATTCTTGTAAAAAGCCTTTAGCTGTCAATTGTAATTCCAATATCAAGGCCCTCAAAAGAAACACGGGTCAAAAACGGATATTTTCCGGGTTAAAACAAAAATGGGTCCCCTTCCCCCTTAACTCTAGCTTATATATATAAATTTCAAAATATACATGACATTTTTTTATACTAAAAATTACGTTAATTTTCATTAATAAAATAGATTCTTCATATATAATTATTATATAATCATCCGCGTATACAAATTACTGTCAAGCTATGTATAATGATACTCACATGCACAATCTGACTTTTATATTAAATATGAATTTTTTTCATAAAAAGGATAAAATATTCCAAAATATTAAAGTTAATTTTTTAAAAAAAATAATAAAAGGGAGGGAAACAAGACATTTCACTTGTTCCTTTTTTGTATTTTGATTGAGAATTAAAGTATTATATCAACAATCCTTATGTGATAAAAATAAAGTTTTTCCACAAGTATGTATGCACATAGTAAATTACAAAAATGGATATTACAAATTAAATACGAATTTAATTTAAAAAAATAAATAAAAATTATATTAGTTAGAAAACAACAAAGTAATTCTAATGTATATATACATAATAATTTTTTTCATTATATATATTATATATACTTGAAACACATTAAGTAAACTTTTTTTGAAATAAAGTATAAATTCTTTTAGTTAGATAATAACAAACTAATTTCACTTCTATAGAATATAAATTTCTAGACGCCCAAACACAATAATTGTTATTAGAACATCAATTATTGGTCAATTCTTATGTTTTCCCAAACAAAGAAATTAGGACTGAAATACAATCTCAATATTTTATTTTCAATTCTCCAGTATTGTAATTCTAATTTAATCCCAATTCAATCTGACAAATGGAGCCTGAATATTAAAGCGTGGTTTTCTGAGATAAAGATATTTTGTCCCGTCCCTTCTATTGTGCCTTTAGGAGAGGAGATGAGAGGAAGGTTTCCGAGTCCATCCATCAGGGTCAGAATGCGAAAAGCTTACATCATGAAATTTAACTTATGCCTAGTTTAGAGAGATTTTTTGTTCTAGTGGATTTTCATATCCATTTTGTGGTTTTATTCTCTCTTTTTATTTGTGCTGGTTTGGGTATCATTTGCTGTTTTTGATATACACTTCAGTTTATGTAATTTATCTCACTAGAATTTGGCTAGCCTTCGCCTTTAGGCTTATGTCAATCAGACCGCAGTCTGTTAAGTTTAGGTACTTTAACTCATTATACTGGAATTTGGGTGGCCTTTGTGTGGAAATCCCCCTAATTTTGCAATAAATTAGGAATAGATTTTAAGATATTATAATTCAGAGTTTTTGATTGATTTCTTGGCTATTTATGCTGCCATGGTCTAAGAATATCCTTTCTATATAAATCTAGTAGGATTTCTATACGCTATTTCACCGAACCTTGTAAATCATGTGTCGTATCTCCTTTTTATTTTTTCTTTCCTCATTATTTTCTTCCCGCATTGTCATAAGTTGTTTGGAGTATGTCCCTAACAGAGTTATGTCAACATCAAATGTACCTGCTATATGCGCAACTCTGTTTGGTCTGGCAGTGTCAAGTGTTTCCAGTATCTTTTGTTCCTAACATGGTTCTATAATGAAATCCACAGTTCTCATGCTTATGTTGCCCTTACAGAGAATCAAAGATGTGAAATCTCGAGAAGGGGAGGAAAAGATGCTTCGGTTGTCTGTAGAGTCCGGAGGTTGTTACGGGTTTAAGTACAACTTCTATTTTGATGATAAAGGCGATTCGGATGACAGGTTGCTCTCTTTTTGACTTTCAAATCTCATGGAAGTTCTTCTCTTATTACTTTCAACCTAATTCCATATTGTAAAGTATCTAATTCCTAGGTTTAGTAGTTACTAGGGTTGGCAGCCAGTTTATGAGGTGTGGTTATAATCTTTCCTTAATTTATACTTGTTCTTACCTCGTATTTGTCTATTGATGCAGCATCTTTCAGCGTGAAGGGGTGGAATTGGTGATTGATAAAATCTCTCTTGATTTTGTGAAAGGTGCTACTGTTGATTATGTTGAAGATCTTATTGATTCACACTTCCAGGTATGTGGCTTTGTATGTTCTGTTCTTAAATCTCTATTCCTTTATTTCAATTTATGAGCTGCCAAGAGTGGCTCTGATGAAACTTTATGATAGCTTTGCATAATGCTGTGAAATCGTTGAACTTGCATCGTTATCTTAAAAACTTAAGTATGCTCATACATGCTGGTAGTTTGTCTGGCATGGGAAAGATTAGAGTGCGAGAAAAGCTTATTTTGAACTGCAAAGTTGCTTTTTTCCTGGTAATTGATTTGAAATATCCATTGTCTATCTATTAAAAAATTACGAGGCATAAGGCTCTGTTTGGTTGCAAGAATTAAGCAATGGAATTGAAAGGTTCCAATATCAATTATTTTATTCGGTTGGACAAAAATAAGTATAGAGTTGGAATTTTAATATCAAATGGGGTTCAATTCTTTAGGTGGAACTTATAATTGTAATTCCAATATTATGTGCTCTTTTTTTTGAATATAATTAATAAGTGATTGTGTCCGTTTTTGGTTTAAATTTTTATTATTATTATTATTGTGACTCGGTTGTTGGCATAAAATTTTCATGAAGATTTTTTTTTAAGATGTTTCATTTTTTCCATATGTATATGCTTTTAAGTGATACATATACATATATTAATATATACATATGTGATATATATATATATATATACATATATATATATATAAAATTTTATTAAACCATACATGGTATTTTTATAAGTAAAAATTGTCTAGGTTTCATTCATTTAAAATCTATATTTTTCATATATAATATTGTACTAAATGTAATTATTAGCATATATAAATTAATATTAATCTATATATAAATGAATATTAATATGCATATATTGACTTTTTTATCAAATCTAAAATTTTCCATTAAGAATACAAAAAATTTCAAAAAACTAAAAATTAAAATTTCAATGAATGAAAAAATAATGAAAGGGAAAGAAACAATGACTTTTTAGTTGTTACTTATTTGTGTTGAGTGAGAATTTTAAGTATTATCAATAATTGATATGTAATGAAAAGAAAAGTTTTTCTATAAGTGGGCATGTATATAATAGTTTACAAAGTGTTATAAAATTCAAATAAAAAAATTATATTTTGTTAAAATAATAATTAAAAATTGTATTAGTTAGACAACAGTAAAGTAGTTCTAATGTATGTCTACTTAATAATCTACTTTGTTTTCATTTTATATGTGTGCATATAAATTACTTTGATATAAAAAATTAAGGTATTATTTAAATAAAGTATGAATTATTTTAGTTTGATAAAAACAAACTAATTCCACTTTTGAAGTATATAAATTTTTATTTATCCATACACCAGAATTGATATTAGAATTTTGATTCTAATCAATTCTTAAAATTGTAATTCGTATTCAATTCCAAATCAATTCTTAAGGAAAAAATGATTTAGTCTATACAACTTAGAAAATCTACTCTATGCAACTTTAAACTAACCTAAATTTGAAACATTTTTGGTCTCTATGTAGGTATCCACGAATCCAAGTAAAGTGAATGGTTGCGGCTGTAAAACTTCCTTTATGGTGGAGTAGTATCTTATTGTTGTTTTTCTTCCATGTGTTCCTTCGCATTGCAAGAGTATGGTGTCAATGGGGTTGTGTTTCGTGGTTGGAATTTTATCTTCGTAGTTTGGTACTTCCTTTCGGTCCTTAATATAAGTCATTTTAATTTTGTTCTAAATTTCACCTAATATGTATTTTTAATTAATGAAAAAATTTTAAAAATATAATTTCACATTCGTTATGTTTTCTTGATTGTTAGGAAATATTTTTGAATTTTTTTTGTCAATTTAAAATATGTACTAGGTGAAATTTAGGACAAATCAAAACGTCTTATGTCAAGAATATGAGAGAGTATCAATATTTATTCTATCGCTGCAAATCTACACCTCGGTGAACATAAGCACTCTTATTAGCAGTTCACAATTTATTTCATGATGATCAAATTTTTCTCAACTTCCATATGCTTTTGGTAAACAAATAGTATATTGGCTTACATTTAAACCGGCAAAGAGTTAGCTCACTTGCTTTTATTGATAGAAAAAATTAATCAATGACAAAGTACAATAATAATCGAATAAATCTTTCCTAAAATTTTGAAGGTAATTTTCTCCACTATCTACTAAAACAGATATTCTAACCAAATTCGTAGCAAATAAATGAATACCTACTATGAATCAGATTCCTTTCATATTTTACAACGGTACAAATACAATCCCTAAGGAAATATAACCCTCTTGCAGTCCCTGTATTTGGGACAATCATCGTAAGTTTTATATTTTTTTATACTAAACTAGCGTTGAGGATCCGTCGTGAACGCACGACGCATTCTATAAATAATTTGTTGTCTTTATTTTTATTTTTGAATAAGTTTACTTTATCATTTGATTTTGTTGTTGGAACAGTAATTGGTAAACTATTATGTATGAAGTTAAAGTATTAAAATGTAGCAAGTACAACTATGTACTAAATAAAACAATGAATAAGATGAATCTATTTTTATAATTTTTTTAATCCATATCAAGTAATTGCAAGTTGTAATATTTCTTCGAACATCACATTTCGAGTTTTGGTATCCTCGATAACGTCCTCTAACGTCGGCAACATTAGGAGTACTTTTAGGTATCTGGACATCTTGGCTCGAGGGAGAGCAATGTACAACTGACTGTGAGAGAAGACCTACGTAAGTGTAACCCCATGTATTCCATAATTTGTCCATGTGACTTGTTGATTGTCATTGCAAAGCAGAGTTTCACCGGGAACAGATCCTTTTGAACGTGATGTCTTTGATTCCTATGTCTTTGGAGATGAGAGGTCTTTTAGGCAAGAATACAGTTTTTCATGTGTGTGAAGCAAATGGGATCTTTGGTTTGAGGTATTCTGATTTCATACAGCTGGTGATCCGTCATATGCGCTATGCATCCTATAAGTAATTTGTTGTGTTTAATATTTTTTCATAGAAGTATGGTTTGGCATTTAATTTGGATATTGTAAGATCTATTGTTCAACTATTTATATAGAGTGATAGGAGTAAATTGTAGGACATTTTTGGAATTAGGCAATAAATAAAATGACGAATAACATGAATCTATGAATCTATTGCTAGTTATAATATTTTTTCGAATACCACGTTTCGATTTTTTGTGTCCACTATTTCGTCCTCTAACGTCAGTAGAGCAGCTCACGTAAGTATAACCCGATGCACTCCAGTGTTTGTCGGTGTGACTTGTTGATAGCCATTATGAAGTAAAGTTTTATCGGAAACTGTGCATAAATAAAATCCTTAAAAATGAGTATGACGATTCATCAATTATTGCTACGTGGAGACATAATTTCAAAATATTCAGACTATAATTAGATCAAATGACGAAGATAACTCTCCCCAGATACTTGTTAGCACAATTGTTTTGGAATGCGAATTTGCTCAATTTCGGAACATTCAGACTATAACTATTTAGGAAATTAGAGTTACAACCAACAAGTTTTGGTTTATCATAATTTACTATATTGTGATAATAGTAAATTATAACACTTACAATCGCGTAATAAAATGAATAAGTGCTTATTGTTTTCAAGTTTCAATAGTATTGGAAAAATTTACCCAAAGAAATGTAGAGTAAAAAAATAAGAGAAAATTTTAAAATGAAAATATAAAGAAAAAAATTAGACATAAAAAAAATGTTTGAGTAGTTATAAAAATATTACCATTGAAATTAGGTTAATGGTAAGTTTTACACATTTTATCTTTTTCTATTATGTTTTTTTGTTCATTTATGTTTGGGTATCTATATTCATATTTTATTCATGCATGTAAATATTATCGATGAGTTGCTAATATATTATTGAATATATATAAACAAGAAGGTTTAATAACTAAAAAAAAACATTCGGGTGAAGAAATAATAAAATGAAATTTTGAAAAAAACGACACTAAAATTAACTAAAAAAATATAAAATAATATTGGAGAGGGAAAAAAAATGCAAAAACAGGTTGTTAGTTTGCAATAAAGTGTAACCTCCTTAACCATTTTTTTCCAAAGTAAATGCAAGAGAGATCTCGTGGCTAATAGCACTTGCCTGTAATATCTTAGATACTATCCGGACGAATTATGCACATGGAGTCTTAATCTATGCACATCGGGTCTGGATCCATGTGCATGGGGTCTCAAATTATGTATATGTGATATGGATCCATGCAGATAGGGTCTGGATTTATGGACATGAGTTACAAACTATGAATCCATACGCATGGAGTCTTGAATTATGCAAATAAACTCTAAATCTATGCACATGGATTAGTTTGTGATGTGTAATAGCCGAACGTAAGAATCAAAGTCGAGTACACTGAGCCGGAAGAAAAATAAACGCCAGTTATACTTGTAATAAGTATATATTTTGTTTATTAAATATATATTATTTTATTTGTAAAATATTAAACAAAAAAATTATTTAAAGATCATGTGTATGTATTCTAAAAAGATGCACATAACAATTAAAATTAATTTAAAATTATTATTAACATGTAATTTAAAATTATTAATGCAACAATCAAAATCACGCACTTGAATTTTTAAAATGTATATTTATACATGTTACTATCATATGTCAATTTATGCAAATTTTATTTGGACAAACTTTAGCATAAAAAATAAGTAAATAAGAATAAAACTTGAATCTAGAAAAAGGAAAAAAAAAATAGAGTAAAACGCTAAAAAAATCACAAACAAAACCAAAACAATTTTTTATTAAAAAAACAAGAAAAAATTTATTAAAAAAAAAAGAAAAACAAATTTCTATTAAAGAAAAGGGGAAAAAAAAAAAAGGAATAAAGCACCTCGCGCCTGTACAAAAGCCAAAAAAATAAAAACTTTGTTTGTTTTATTTTTTTGATGGTATTTTTATATTAAAATATTAATAACTATCTCATCCTAACATACTTTTTTACATTTCCAATACACCTTTTTATATTCCCAATACAAAAAACACCTAAAAACACACACTAAAAAAACAAAACAAACATAGTCAAAAAAACTCGCGGGTCGTCTTATAACCCGGAGTTTGACCCGCGAGTTTTTTTTTTAAAGGAATAGTGCACCTTGTGCGCGTGTTCAAAAGTCAAAAAAAAATAAAATACCTATTTCTGAAATTACTGTTGTGCCCCTAATTAAGAAAAAAGACCGTCTGACCAATCAGATTTGAGGAATTAAACCCCCCCAACCAATCAAATTTTAAGAATTTTTGACTCACCAGACTTTTATCTTTATGCTATAGAAAAAGTGTAATTAACTGACAATCATCATAAGTTTTACATTTTTTTATACTAAAAAAAGTGTAATTAACTAATGAAGCGGGCACAATTTGCACTCCCTAATCCATCTAATTATGAACATAGCTGATCTTTTCAATACAAAACATACACGAATGCGTATTCCAGATTTCCAATAACTTTATGTTACACTTAATCAAAAGTACATGGATTCGTGGATTTTCAAATTTTCACTTTGGCCTAATATGAACCTACAATACAAAGTAGATGACATGTTTCCTTCCAACTTTATTACACGGACACAAGACTACATACACAGACACAAGACCCTACTAGCATCATTGTTTATGTGGTTGAGTCCTCTTCCGGAAAGCATATTTGAATTTCTGGAGTTGAAAACGTTTCTCAAGCTGTAACTGATTCATTCTCGAGTTTGGCATTTGTGATGAAAGATATGTGACTTTGCCAGCCAAATTTATCAGCTCCACTACTACAGAAGAGGCCGATCCCTTTGCATAACAAGCTTCCTGATGCTGATTCCGCACTCGTAATCCCCTGCTCTTGATATGATACTAAAAATGTTCCGGCTCCAGTTTCATTTTCAATCTCATGTGTAAAAAGAAAAGCCATAATCATACATTCTCATCTTAAATGCATTTACGTGTAACACAAAATGTGAGTCAAATGTTACAAATAGTTGCATTCCACAATTATAATGGGATACCCTTGCCCAAGAAAGATAGGTTTGTATGGACAACGTTTTTATTTTTATTTTTGGTTTGAATTTCGAAGGAGATTTAAATGTAGTTTGAAAGGAAATTTAAAAAGTTGTATAGACAATGGTTTAAATAATATTATTTTTTTCTCACCACTAGACCACTTCTCCTGTGAGACCCCGTACTAAGCAAGCTAGTCAATCTAGCAGGTGAATGAATCCCACATCGGATGTAGGTGATGGAGGAGATTAGTTTATAAGTACTAGCTAGCTTAGTAACTTGGGTTAAATATTTTGGGTGCAGCGAGGACGAACACCCAAATAGTTATCGGGACAAATCCGGCAGTTGAGGCATTACAATTGGCATCAGAGCCGACTTAGTACTAGAAGCTAAGTGCTACGTAAGGGCACACCTCTGAGCTCACTGATGGGACAAGTGCACCGACAAACTATTCTAATTTGCATTTTCACTTCTAATAAATTTTTTACTAAAAATGAAAGTCTTGAACAATTACGAGGGAGTACAAAATCAATAAAATATTTCGCTATAGATTGACAACTGATATTACTTCCTCCATATTAAGTTTGGAATTTGTACTAATATCAATATAAATCTCAAATCTCAATATGGTCTATCTTTTAAGAACCATAAGTAGTATCTAAGTAAATAGAATACTTTGCTCTTTACGCTTGCCATTTTCAAGAAAGGTATAATTGAATTTTCCTTTACTGTAGAAATACAATGTTTAAATTTTAAATTTGGATATAGGTCAAGTCCAATTACAGCGAGCCAACAGCAAACTCAAAAAGTTCCGCCAGCATAATGGTTCTCCTCCCACTGGTTTTTCCAGTACGATGAAAAGTAATATTTCATCATCATGTTCGGCTCATGAAATGACTAGATTTTAGCGTGCCGCCAAAAGATTGCTTTTCAGAATATAATGCGCAAAGATGAGGTAGGGAGTAGTTTTTAGGGATTTTCCAACGACTGAGATGAGATGGATCTAACCAAAATTAAGAATGTAGGAACTTCTGTTCCCTGATTCCATCTATATGTTCTAAAGTGCAATGGATGTGCTATTTGAAACATGCTCTTTCAATCTCAACAATTAGTCAATTCAAGACATCCTAGTCCTTTTTTCATAAACAAAGGTAATAAATCCTTAATTACACACTTAAACTCTAAAGTAAGTATATATTGAAGTGAAAGGTACACATGCATTTTAAGTTTGTTTTCTTTCAATTGCTCGTCTTGAAGTTACTTTTGTTCTTGTGATTTTTTTTTTTTTTTGTGAGAAATAAAAAGGTTTCATTTATTTAT